ATTTTCTTTATTTTCTAGATTTTCATGTTTGATAATAATTTGTAATTTTCTTGCAGATCGTTTATTGTTTCTACTTAAAGCGAAATAGAGTGGAGAATTTGGGAAGTTTCTTCTTTAAATGCATCCATGAGACTTGACATGTCTTGCTTTATTTTTTTATATAAATTGCCCATTAGTTCCGTCACACATTCCCTGGTTAAAGGTTGAAAATGTTCAGGTTTTTCCTGTTGATTTTCAGCATTATTAAGATTGGATTGATTAATTTCTGAGCTGCCCAGTGAACTTCTTGATTCAGTTTACCTTCCTGAATTCTGAGGCGAATAATAAGTATTTATAGGTTTCTTTTTAACTGAGATTTGTGACCTTTCTTTTGTGGGAGCCATGGTGGGAAAGAGTTCATTTATTCTGTTAGATTTAACAGAAGAGATATCTCTTTAAGAGGAAATTCCTTTGCTGTAATGGTTTTTACTATCTTTCTTTCCACCTTCTTTTTCATGTTAACGTTTAGTCTAGGTTGGTCTGTTTTCTCATCTTTTCCCTCTTTTTTTGTCTTGTGCTTGCTTTTATGTTTAATATTCGGGGGGTACTACCCTAACAAGGAGCTTGCTGAAAATGGCTTACATCCCCTTAAGTGTGTTTAAAACTTTTTCCCTTTTTTTTTTTTGCTCTTAGTTTTGCCAGTTTGGAACTTGCAGTAGCTTGTTGTTTTTTTACTCCTTTTGCTCGCATAATTATCAGAGGTGTTTTCCCAGCATTCATTACACCAGTCTCTGTTATATTGCATATAGTTGTTAAATATTTGGAACTCACGGCACCCAGTTTTAGATCCGACTTGTACCTTCCATCCTCCACACCATCTGCCACCAAAAGTATACTGGACCGGTCACCCTGGCTCACTGACCCACAGCGTACAACCCAGAGCCACCCGTCTGGTTAGTTCCCTCGCCAGGAATATCTCCTTCGCTTCACCTTGCTTCAAAAGCTTCAGTAGCGTGGCCCGTGCCTTGAGACAGCTTTGCTCCCCCTCCCTGCTCTTACGCACGAACGACTAATGACTGCGTTGTGCGTCGTATCTACGTCATCGCACCCCAGTGTGTATTTGTTTACATTGTAATGCAGCAATTTAACCCCTTAAGACCGGAGGGCGTACTATTACGTCCTCTAATAGGCGGCTCTAAACGCCGCCGGGCGTAATAGTACGCCCTCCGGTCTTTCTGTACTTACCCGGTCGCCGGCGGTCCCACGCCGGCGATCGCGGTGGGGGGGACTCCCAGGGAGCCCCCCGCGGCACGACCGTCCTCCAGGAAGCCCCCCGGCCGTGTGAGAGTGGGGTCCTAGCGAGGACTCCACAATCACATGGCCGGGTATAGCTGGCTTCTGTATTGCCAGCAGGGGGGCTGCCTGTAATTACAGGGGGTCCCCCTGCTGGCTGAAAATAAAAGTAAAATAAGTTAAAAGTGTAAAAAAATTAAATTATATATACTTAGATCATATATATATATTATATATATATGATCAAAGTATATATATACACATATACATACACACATGTACAGCGTCTAGGTGTATTTTACTATTAATATATATATCATTATATATATATATTAATATCAAATTACACGTAGACTGATACTGATTAAATATATATATAATTATTGTTATATATATATTTATATATATTATAAAAAAAATTAAAATGTAAATACGTTAAAAAATAAAATTACAAAAATAATTAAAAATAAATAATTAAAAAATATATAGATGTGTTATTTCGTTCTAACTGTATTGTGAAATTAATATATATATATATATATCAAAATACACATAGAACGAAATAATATATATATTTATACACATAAATATATACGTATATATCACTATATATATACCTATATATAAATAAAAATATTTTTTAAAAATTATATAGATATATACATATATGTACACATACGTATATATATACATATATTGATTCTACATATATATTTATGTAATATTTTTACATAATTAGGTATCTTAATTAATTACAATTAGCAGGACCTGCATGACAACCCCTGCCGAAAGTAAAGGGAATTTAATTTGCTAGCACTATATTTAACCCTATAACTTTCCGAGACACCATAAAACCTGTACATGGGGGGTACTGTTCTACTCGGGAGACTTCGCTGAACACAAATATTAGTGTTTCAAACAGTAAAATGTATTACAACGATGATATCGCCAGTAAAAGTGACGTTTTTTGCATTTTTCACGCACAAACAGCATTAAACGGACAATATTATTGCTATGATACTTTTTACTGTTTTGAAACACAAATATTTGTGTTCAGCGAAGTCTCCCGAGTACAACCCCTCATGTACAGGTTTTATGGTGTTTTCAAAAGTTACAGCGTCAAATATAAGGCTTGCGTTTCATTTTTTTCACATTAAAATTCGCCAGATTGGTTACGTTGCCTTTGAGACCCTATGGTAGCCAAAGAATGAAAATTACCCCTATGATGGCATACCATTTGCAATAGTAGACAACCCAAGGTATTGCAAACAGGGTATGTTCAGTCTTTTTTAGTAGCCACTTAGTCACAAACACTGGCCAAAATTGGCGTTTTTTGCATTTTTCACACACAAACAAATACTAACGCTAACTTTGGCCAGTGTTTGTGACCAAATGGTTACTAAAAAAGACTGGACATACCCCATTTGCAATACCTTGGGTTGTCTACTATTGCAAATGGTATGCCATTATGGGTGTAAATTTCATTCCCGGCTACTATACAGTCTCAAAGGCAACGTAACCAATCTGGCGAATTTCAATTTCAAATGTAACGTGCTATATTTGACCCTGTAACTTCCCAAAACGCCATAAACCTGTACATAGGGGGTACTGTCTTACACGTGAGACTTTACTGAATACAAATATGTGTATTTTATTGCAGTAAAAGCAAACAGTATTATGACACTGACCGTTAAAATGTCATGTAGAACTAAAAAAATAAAAAAAATCTTATTTTCTCCCATTTTTTCATATTAAATTATGTTTCATAGCTAAATATTTGATATCAAATGAAAGCCCTGTTTCCCCTGAATAAAATGATATATAATAAGGGTGGGTGCATTTACTATGAAAGAGGTGTATTACGGTTGGACAGACATGTAGCGGAAATGCCAGGTTTTGTTTACATTTTGTTTTGTTCACAACGTGTACATTTGGCTCCGTCCTTAAGGGGTTAATCTCTGCTCATCCTATCAGTATGCCTCTGCCACCAATTAGCTGTGAAAATGCATCTATATGTCCAATTTATTAAATTATGAGATGCAGTTGAAGTATGATTTTTATTCTACTCACAAAAGTAACAAAATGTAAAAGTAAAAAGTAACAAAATGTACAAGTAAAAAAAATGTTTCACGTTTAATGTGCATTTCATTCAAAGGTGAACCTTCCACCAAGCTTATCTTGTAGAGCAGTGATGATGAATGTATTGCACTGATGCAATTTCTGCTGCTGAGGCCCTGGGGTGGCACTGAATCTGCAGCCAAAGTAGCCATCGTTGCTAGTTGATCCAGCTAGCCAGGAAATGTAATGACAAAGAACATGTTGATCTAAGTGTATTGATGGACATAAACATAGTGTAAGGATAGTGCATGAATATAGTGGAGGCAGAAAGTGAAGGCTGGACTTTTTGGTTAAAAGTAGAGAATTTATAGGATCTATGGAATAGGGAGACCATGAAAATTTGATGGAGTGAGCTCAACTAATGAGTGGGAACATGTATTGAAAGATTTAAAACATGGGTGAAGAAACACCTTATGTGTATGGTATATGAAATTGATGTGTCCGAGAGACTGGGATGATGGAAGAAAAAGATGGGAACACTAATGAAGAAAGTTTGAACTGTAATGGTGATAGTGGAAAATGAAAATTTCACATGAAGAGACGATATGAATAAAATACAAACACAATCGGTATGGTCATTTTTAGTTCTATTTCTTAAATTCTATATAAAATCTGGCATTTGGGGTAAAATGAATGCCATCATAGAGCAATGATATTGTATTTTAAAAAGGTCAAAATACTGTAAAACACAGCAGATTATTAATGTTAAATGATTTCTTAGTGTTTAATGTTAACATGTTGGTTTATATGAGACTAGAATATCTGCCAATAAAACAGAAATTATTTATCAGAAAATGTATTTTGAACAGTTCATAAAATATACAATGAAGTCCTACTGAGCAACTCTGCAAAACATTAGAAAATTTATATTTTTCACACTTATTTTGCATAGTATTTGTTGACTGGTCATGTCGTTTTTTTGTTTTTTTTAATTTCTCTGCTTTTTCTTGGAAAATAAATGGGTTAAGATGCCAAAAGCATCTTATTTGATGCAATGATTTCAAAATGCTTGATGCTGTCATGTTGCCGTCTTTGGAACCCTAGGCCAGCAATTTTCTGGCCTATGGTGAAGCCAATCACTTGCTGTTGAGAAAAGCACATTAATTATGATTTAATGGATTAAAGTATTGATTCGCCATGGGGCAGGCACTAATTAACCTTCTTTCACTGTAATGTTCTGAGCTAAAGATTGTGTTTGTAATAGCAGCATTAGAGTTTATTTTCTAAATAATGAATTATGGTGAATTGAACATAAAGTTGCCAAAAAAAAATAAAAAATAATAATATAAATTGCAAGAAATGCCTCAAATGTTACACAGATTCCAGAGAATTGTATAGCTTTAACTCTATATCAATTAGCTGATAGAGATGTCGCGAACCGTCCGCGAACTTCTCGCGAACGGTTTGCCGCGGTTCGCCACGAGCTGTTCGCGGCGAACTCCGGTCAGCTGACACATCCCGGCCAATCTCCAGCAGACCCTCCCTCCCAGACCCTCCTACTTCCTGGACAGCATCCATGTTTCAACATGCTGACACATCCCGGCCAATCTCCAGCAGACCCTCCCTCCCAGACCCTCCTACTTCCTGGACAGCATCCATGTTTCAACATGCTGACACATCCCGGCCAATCTCCAGCAGACCCTCCCTCCCAGACCCTCCTACTTCCTGGACAGCATCCATAAAACATGGATGCTGTCCAGGAAGTAGGAGGGTCTGGGAGGGAGGGTCTGCTGGAGATTGGCCGGGATGTGTCAGCTGACCGGAGTTCGCCACGAACAGCTCGTGGCGAACCGTTCGCGGACGGTTCGCAACATCTCTATTAGCTGATACACACTTTAGGGTACTTTACTTCCAAAACTTCCAAAAATAATCCTTGTGCACCAAGTTTAAATGGTTGAAAATGGAAAATGCTATTCAAATGGTTTACAATAATTAAAAAAATGTTTAGTGCTAAACTGCATACGTTGGGGCAAAATACCAAATTGATAGCACTGTAGATTTGTTATAGCTTGACTGCTTTACCCCAAATTTTGCAATTCCATTGTCAGATTACCATATTAGCTGTTTAGTAAACAAAAAACATTGGGGTCAGTTTACTAAATTGAGTCCCTAGCAGGGATGGGAAGCCTTTGGCACAACAGATGTTATGGACTACATCTCCCTTGATGCTTTGCCAGCATAATAGCTGTAGGAGCATTATGGGAGATGTAGTCCAAAACATTTGAAGTGCCAAATGTTGCCTACACCTACTGTTTTCTGGTCACAGTGCACTTTTACACAAAGAAAGGCATATACAAGCTTGTTTATGTTTGACGGGAATCCACCAGTTCAGTAGATTCAATTGCAATTTTTCATGACAAAAAAAATGCTTATTTCCTGGTGTAAAATGTATGTCCAAAGGGAGAGGAGAAGTAAGAATGGGCAATAAAACCAAGTGGCATAAGAGAATCTAAAAGTAGAAAAGAGGGATATAAAATATGTAAGAACATAAAAGGGGAAGAAAAAATCTGAAAAAGAAAAGGGTAAAACGGATAAACAAAATGTTCTCGTGGATGTGAAATGCAATGGATAGGAAATAATAAGGGGACAGAAAAATTTGGGGAGTTTTAGCAGAAGGAGACGTGATGGTAAATGCAATGATGGCGAGGAGATAAAAGTATTTAGGGATGGAGAAGAAAGGACAACAGCTGAGCTAAATAATAAGAGAAGTGAGGCACAAAACAAGTAACGTTAGATAAAGGAAAGTGTAGGACAGGGATGGGCAACCTTCGGCACTCCAGATGTTGTGGACCACATCCCCCATAATGCTCTTACACACATAATGCTGGAAAAGCATCATGGGAGGTGCAGTCCAAAACATCTGGAGTGCCGAAGGTTGCCTATGCCTGGTGTAGGATGTTATAAAAAATAAAAGAAGCTGAGTAATGGTAATCGTCGTCAGTGCATTGCAGTGGTGAATCAGACTTATGATAACAGTTGTGGGAGAAAAAAAGGAAAGAAAAGCATTTAACAGTGAAATAAAACAAACGTCTATTTGTACTATATTAAAACTGCTGCCTGTCTAGCTGTAATCACTCAAATAATGCTGTTTCTCTAACCGGCAATGAAAGAGGTCATATTTAATGTAGTCCTAATGAATACAGTTTATGAAGTCAGAGGTGCTCATTAAATGCAGTTTATTTACCCAATATCTCACACGTGGCACTTTCATCAGCAGTGCAAATAACAATGTGTGGGGAGAAAATGGGACACGTTAGTAAGCACTGTACTTACTGTGAGAATTATACACCTACATATACACATTCATTTTAATCTACTACTCAAAATTGCAAGTGCTTTTATGTTGAATCTGTTTAAGATGAGTAATAATTGATCCCATTTATATTAATATTTCCAAAAAAGGATGGTATTTGGGCTGGAAGCATTATGCTTTGAGGGCAAGAACAAATTGTTGGTCTTTTTCCCACATATTGCACAGGTCTCAGTGGGTCGTCCTATTAACGTGGAGCTAGCGGCGGAACTACCGCGGTCGTAGGGGTCACAGCTGCCCTGTCGACCCCTGCAACCGAGGTGTCTGGTGGCATTGTGGTGCAGCCAGGGCCACATTAAAGGGGCCCATGGTTTAGAGCCACCCGATGACAGTGGATTTCCTGGGACTTGATCAGCGCTGCAGAACTTTAAAAGCACGACCGGGCTCCAGTTATGATGTCAGAGCTGGGAGGAAGCAGCCATTCCTCCCAGCTAACGGAGCGCCGTGCAGGAGGAGACCACTGGGGAGTAGAGGAGGACGTCAGAGTGGGAGCTCTGACTCCTATCAGCATGAGGCATCCACTGGACCCCATGGAAGTCACTAAATATTTTGGACAGTTTGCATGTGTGTGTGTGTGAGAGAATGTCTGTATCAGTATGTCTGTGTGTGTGTGTGTGTGTGTGTATGTGTGTCTGTATGTGTATCTCTTTGTCTGTGTATCTGTTTATCTGCATGTGGGCCTGTCTGTGTACCTGTTTTTCTGCATGGGTATCTGTTTGTCTGTATGTGTATCTGTGTGTCCACATGTGTGTGTCTGTGTATCTGTATGTGTGTCAGTGTTTGTATCCGTAGAAGAGTTATTCTGTGTATCTGAATGTGTGTCATTCTGTATGTCTGTGTATTAGCATGTGTGTCCGTGTATGTATCTGTATGTGTTATACAAATGGAGGGGTGTGGAGTGGTGGGGGTGGGAGATGCATCAGGGGGCCCCAGGACACTTTTTGCACCAGGGCCCTGTGATTTCTAGTTACGCCTCTGCGTCGAGCATATCATATATGGATATGGCTGTTGGATGCTGCAGGGATAGTGAGGTGTGACATCATGTATGTCTGCTACCTCCATGAGTATGCATACCCTCAAACTGCAAAATCCCTAGTGGGCAGGGTACAAGGGGACAGGCCATTAATACAAACTCCATCATTAGTGTTGCCTTAAGTGAGGAGGTCCACCCAAAGAGTGGCATAAGTGCATGAAGGGTGGATCATGCAGAGAGTGTTTTTACTCTTTGCATGGCCCTAGGGTCCTTAATGTACTGAAGTGCTTGCGCTATATTTTTTTTATTCCTTGGTGTTCACAAAAAGCGGAGCACCAAGGAATAAACTTGGGATAGCAGGAGAGGACACTGAAATATGGACTGTCCTGTCTGAATAGGCATAGTTGGAAGGCCTGAGTAAGATCTGTACAGTATGACAGAGATCTGTGCGTTCTTAAGAAACGTTTCCCACAACTTTACTGCCATCAATAATAACTAGTGTATTATGAATGTTTTGAGCGCTGTTTCACCCCTCCCATGTGTTACGGTACCTTCAGCATAAAATGTACAAACCGCCGTTTAGTGAATGCTCCCCGTTCGCAATAATGTTGGCTATAAGCGTATCCAATACAACCATGCGAACCGCCAGCAAGGGAACACTCAAGCCTCAAGCTCACGAACCGCCAATATCAGCCGAACGTCGGTATCTCCCAAGCGGCTGATAATTCCAAATAGCAGTCTCTAGTCGCCGGTAATAAAATCCCCCCCCAATAACAAGACCAAGCTCCGCATTGATGGTGTTCGTTTGAAAAAGTGTCCGTTTTCAGTTCCATGAATTTAGTACCGAACACCTCTGGTCTTTCGCATGGTTTAAAATGGTCGCCGCCTCGTGGTCGACATACGTACGACGACCACCCTGTATTCGGTTTTAATTGAGAAGTGTCTGTGGTTAACCGCAACGTTCTAATTGGGATCAATAGGTTAACCAGCAGCACACTTCTCTTCTGGGTTGCCGTCCGTTCGACAGTTTTGTTCGGTAAAAAAGTCAATTCACTTAAATCCAGGCATATGAATGGGGGAGTTCATGAAACAAGCAAACAGACGAACCCAGCAATCTTAGTTCATACGGATGGGTCTGTCACACCATGAGTACCAATTTAGGAGGGACGGTCCTTTTTTGGGATCAATTTTTCGAATAAATTTATGTTATCTTTTAGCCAAGTGAGGTTATATACCTTGTAAATGTTGCACTATATAAAGAGAGAAAACTTTTATCTTGATAGCCACACATGTTTTTCACAATCCCAATTCCTAGACTTGGAGATTTGTTTTGTTTTTTACAAACTGCAATTTTGATTAATTTGGGCCAATTTGGTGATTGATTGAATTTACAAACTTTGATTTAAAGTGTAGCCAAATCACAGACCGAATCAAGAATGCAATGGACAAATGTCTGTTTTGATTCTTGATTTGGTATTCTGAAGTGATTTTTAGGAAAAAAGATGATTGATGTCTAGGGGATAGTCACTAACTGCTGACTTTATTCATAGCTCAAATGAGAAGTGAGCAATATAGGAGAAAAGAGAAGGAGGAGTAAAATAAAATTATATTTATATATTACATATTTACTAAACATGTAATATATATATATAAAAATACTTTCTATTGGTTACTTCTTTTGATTTGGTCTGTGAGCCAAATGGTGGAAAAATAAATAATATTTATATTATGTATATATTTTGTAGTGCACTGATTGGCCTATTTTGGTTCACCTGATTAATTTTTCATTATGAAATTAGGATACGCTAAATCAGTGTATGGTCAAAATTGGGCCGTCCCAAAATACGTTTTTTGTTTGTTTTTTTGGGCAGAATTGATTTAGTCGAAATACATATTTCTGATGTGTACAAGCCTACCAATTACCAAGTGCTTCTTCTATAAATGATATACTGAGATTATTCAAGGATTTTTATAGTATGGATATGTGATGTCCTAATTGCAATTCATTTTTCATTGTTGCTAGGAGACCAGTAAATAATGGCTGGTCTGACATAAAGTCAACATTCTGAAACACATTGATGTTATGAGTGTCACAGCTGTGTTATCTAAGAATGCAAACTGTGCTATATTTTTTGTGTAGCAATTTAAGGGTTTATATAGGTATCTTAGGAACCAGTAAAAGCTTTATTGTTGGCTTAGATCTTGACAGGTCACATTCGTTTGATCTGTCTTGTGTCTACCACACAATGTTTGTACTGCTATCTTAGCAACTAAAAGGATCATAATCAGCCTTTAGATGTAACCAATAATAAAACAATCCTTGCAATTATGATATTGCATAGACTTCGTTCTTCATATGGGTCAGGCTACAAATATGGAATACGTTTATCCCCATTTATGTAGCTCAATGGTTTGAATAAAGTCTGAGTAACAAATCATGGAGAATTAATCACATGAATTAACAAAAAAATAC